TACCTTACTGACTCAGGAGAACTCATTTAACTAAGGCAAAAAAGTAACTCTGGAATGGGATTGAAAAACAAATGCAGAGCCCTAAAGAATTATCAGCATCACATGACAGAACTATTTACAGCTCGACAAGGACTTGGTAAGAAATGCTTCCCATTCCAGAGACATTTTGACAAACTTAAGCACAAATTCCACCTCTTGCCTCGAAGGCACATCAGAGTCAACAGGCTCAAAACCAGCTACCTGCTTCACTTCGGATTGCTTTAGGCCACTCTTTACCAAATACACCAATACCTGCGTACAGGCTGACAGACCGCTGATGCTGTATATGGTCATATAAACTGAAAACACAATGGAGCAGACCTGAAGGGTTTTGCTGTGGATATAGAAGCACGCTTCTGCTTTGAAGCATAAACCTGACAGGATCTTTCACACCACGAGCCTGTGAGGCCTTCTTTTACCCCAGCACTCAGCTGATGAACAGCCCGTTCTGTTACAGTCTAACATGCCTCTTGTTCTGTATATTCCCATATTCCGACCATGCCAAATTACAGTCTGCAAAATTAAGCTCTACACCTTTCATGCAACCCGCACCCTGAACTCTCTCCAGATGCTTTTCAAACTTCGGCTTTAACAGATCTGTTTAATTTTGTCCTAAGGTCAGAAACACTGCACGCACATCAGAACAAAATGCCTACAGAACTGCGGTCGCTAAATAATTCTGACTTCCCAACTCGCAGCACGGCACAGCGCTCTGCTCCCTACAGCGATCACACCTTCCCCCAGGAAGCAAACCGCTCTCCTCGTCCCGAGCACCAGAAGCACGTTAACAACCAAACCCAACGCCGAGACTCCGGCGATCCTTGCGACACATCCTACGTCCCGCAGGAAGGAAAGACGTTCGGAGTATTTTTTAAAGTGCGGCTCCCACCCAGCCGACTCCTCGGGACACAAAGACACGGAGCGATTCCCAGGAACGCGGGAAACACGCCCAGCCCCTCACCGGGCAGAGCCTCGGGTACGCGGAACCTCTTTCCCTCTTCCCAGCTCCCCCTCCCGCCGCCTCCCCGGCCCACGAGGCCCTCGCGCCGCCGCCCCGCGCGGATCCTTCCCGCCGCCGGGCCCTCATCCGGCCGCCGCCCGCCGCTCCCTCCGATCCGGCCCGTACCTTCGCGCTATGCGGTACAGCAGCAGCCCGGCGGCGGCGGCGCACACCGTGACGCCCAGCCCGGCGGCGGGGCAGCGGGCCAGCAGCGCCCCGGCTCCGTCCATGCCGCTCCCCCGCCGCCGCCGCCGCCGCCGCCACCACCGGCGCCGTGACCTCGGCGGCGCCGCTTTGTACGCGGTTCGGCCGCCCCCCCGCCGCCGCCGCTCCGCCCCTCCTGCCGCCCGGGGGCGGGAGCCGTGACTCACGGCGCGGCGTGAAAGGCCGGAGTCGTGCGGCGGCGGCTCCGTGAGTCAGCGCCGCAAAGGCCGAGATCGTGGCCGCGGAGGCGGGGGCGGCCGCCGGGCTGCCGGCCGTTCCGGGGGGCGGAGGGGCCGTCGTGCCTGGCCCGGCGCCAGGGCTGCGCGCTGCCTGCTCTGCTCTGCTCTGCTCTTTTTTCTCTTCCTACGTTGACACGCGGTGCTGCCGAGGCGCCGGGCGTGCCGCAGCGAGCACCCTCTGCAGGGAGGCTCTGGCAGCAGCAGCTCGGCCCGGCTGCAGGCCCAGGCCTGGAGAAAGGCTTCCAAAAGGAACATCGTCTCTCCCAGGGCCTCTCGCGCACGGTGGAAAGCAGGGAGCTTACGGGAACGTTGCCATTTACGTCGACACGTGGTTTTGAGGGGGGCAAGGAAAGTAAAATAGTGGCTGAGAGAATTATGAAAGCGAAACCGATAGAAAAATTGAAAGGGCTGATAGCTGCAGGACAAGGGGAAATGGTTTAAGTTAAAGGAGGGAGGATTTAGGTTGGATGTCAGGGGGAAATTCTTTACAGAGAGCAGTGAGGTGCTGGAACAGCTGCGCACAGAGGCTGTGGATGCCCCATCCATCTCTGGAGGTGTTCAAGGCCAGGTTGGATGGAGCCCTGGGCAGCCTGGGCTGGTGTGAAATGGGGAGGTTGATGGCCCTGCATGTGACAGTGGGTTGGAGATTTGTGATCCTTGAGGTCCCTTCCAACCCTGGCCATTCTGTGAATAAGCTCTTTATGAGACGGAGCCGCCCCCTTCAGGAAAACACAAAGCCCTTCCACTCTCTCCCCTTCCTGCCGATCTGAGCTCCCTTCCGTGCTACCCTGCAAGCAACACGCTGCAAATCACAGCTCCCTTCAGCCAAGGCACACTGTGGCAAGTCGAGCAGCAGCTGGAGGGGCTGTGCAAGCAGTTTGCTGCCTGTAAGCCAGCAGTTGAGAACTGCTACTGTAGGCTTTCCTCTGTCTTGTTAGACAGGTACTATGGCTTCATGGGAAGACCCTGAGTCTGATGCGAGCAGTTTTCCAGTCAGGCTCACCCAGCTCTCCCCTAGAAAGCAAAGTAACCCATACCTGTTTCAGCTCTGCCCCTCTCAGCACATCCAGATGGGAGTCACTGTTCTTACAGAACTAGAAGATGCCTTGACAATCATGCCCTGCTTTTACATGAAGGTAAGAGGTATGAGATTGATCCTGCCTCAGACTGCACAGCTGTTTTCCTGGTTAAAGAAAACAAACAAAAAAAACCCCTTCAGTGCAACCAATAAAAAAGCTTAAAATGTGGGCAAACCAAGTTGTGCCAACATTGTTTTTAAAAAGCTGAAACTGAGCAGAAGTTTAGAACTGAGTTCAGCTGTTTAATTGCAAAGGAAAAGCTCATCACAGACAAATGCTGTGCTGCAAATAACCTCTACTTCTAAGCTTAAGTGTGGTTGGGATCTTAACCTCATTTCTATCTCCACACAGTTATGCATGGGAATGAATTATATGGAATATGGGATAAACAGTGACTATTTCCTCTTGATAAATGGGAGAGGGATGCAATCTTTGTCATCTCTCTTCCATTGTTTAGCTGAATTATTTAGGGACTGTTTTATAAGACCAAATGAAGGAGGAAGTGCAACCCAGTCATTTGGCCCATCAAGTCTTTCTGCAGGAACTCCAAGCCTTCTGCACTCAAAGGCTTGTCTATTCTTTCTGCAGAAGGCCCTCCCTTCCTACTGACTGTATCTGTATTATCAGTCCAACCATAGATGCATTGTTTACCAAGAGTTTCCTTCTTAAAGGAACTAATAAAGAACTTCTGCAAAAATAATTATAAATGCTGACAAGGGGCACAATCACAATACAAGAAGCATCACAACAGTCAGTGAACAGATAATTTTGAGGAATGTCCAGGCAACCATGGTTGGCCAAAGGAAGGCACTAAGTCTTTTAGCATAAGGTTTTTGGGAAGATTGTCTACAGCTTCAAAAAACAAAGGAATGTTTCCAAAGTTAAAATAACCAACCTGAGGAGCTCATTATTGCAGCAACATGCTTTCAATTTCAATTTAACTGCTCGTTTATGAACAGGAACTGACTTAGTCCTGGTTGCCTGCTCTGCTCCAGCAAATTAAGACTAATTTTGTCACAGCTAGCAGTACAGCTTAAAGAACAACTACAAAAATCCAGAATTCCTCTTTTCCCACCAGAACGAGCTGAAGCAAAACCCTACTCAATTTCTCTAAGTCCCAAACCCCTCTGCAGTATCATTTAGTTCCCCCATTCTTGGATAATAGCAGTCTACACATGTGACTAACTCTAAGAGAGCCAGAGTGCTGTGACTGCACAGGAATACTAATTCAAGAAAGCAAATCTCAGAAGTTTCAGAGCAGCAGCACAAGTGTCCTGGTTCTTAAAAATAGAAACAGTACTGTGTGACAGTTTTGACATCTAGAGAGAGACTAAAGCTTTCACTGCTCATCATCTCCATTAAAGATGGCATCATCTCCATGTCAGTTTTTAGTTACTCAACTGTTTCTTATTTTAGCTTAAGGGTAACATGATATGTTCTTTTCAGTGAAACATAATAGAAACCAGCTATTTTTGCACTGTTTTGCCTCATAATGAGGCACACACACATTCTATCACTTGTACTGTGCTCCTCCATCACACTGATGTCAAATATGACATCAAGTACCAGTCACCAGCTAGGTTTGAATCCATTGTATTTCTGCAATCAAATATTAACCTGAAAGCTTTCTCTTACAAAAGACAACCCTACTCACTAACAGGCTGTTTCTTAATGCTTTGCATGATCCTTCCAAGTCCGAAAAACATCTCTGCTGTATGTGCTCCTTGAAGTCAAAGATGTCCATGAACATTTGCTTATGCTCAAGAGCTCAACACCTGCTCAGATCATGAGAAGCTTATTGTTCTGTTCAGCAGCAGGGAAGACTGAAGCTGGGCTCAAATGCTGCAGTGTTTGTTTCAGCTGTCAAAGCAAATGACACTAATGAATAGGAGAGCACAGAGTAACCAAAGCAAAACACAGATCTTATTTAAGTTCTAAAATATTTTATCCTGCTGTCTCGGGAATTATTATGCAGACTATCTTTTAATCACAAGTTACTACTGCAACACAAGCAGTAAAGGTATTACTGAAATTAAATTACTGAAATTAATGTTCATGAGAGGGCCAATCAGATCAACTCTAGGATATTTTATTTATAACTGAAAGGTAAGAACTATATCATGAGTAGTGTTGAAGAGTTCCCCTTCAATATTGTGTTTTTGGAGGGGGATGGATAGATACTGTATTAATGTGAAACGTAGCACTGTTGCACAAGTCTGGCAGATCCTTCTTATTTCATTCTCTAAGAAATCAAACAGTGATAAAGGAAATATCTACACAGGCTTTGTGGCTTTTTGGTGCTAACTCCAGCGACATGACCATGAGATAACAGACTATCTCAGTTCCACTACTGCTGCTCTACAAAGACATCAAATAAAGAGGGATTTATTCCTGAATGTCGTACTGTATAGCAGAATCCAGAACTGCATTCAAAGATTGTCGTACTTGAGACCTATCTTATCCTCTCTTCTACTTTCCAGGTCCCCAGCATTGAAAAACACAAAAAACAGCTCTGCAGTAGAAAAAGGCTTAGGTCAGGATACACGACCAAGGTAGCACATCTCATGGAATTTCTACAAGGTGGCCATGCCTCAAACGCTGACTGTCCTTATGCTCTCAGCCATTCACAAAAGCAAGGTCTAAAAGCAGTTAGGACAGGTCAGTCTGCAAACACTGGTGCACAGATGCACAGTGCTGTAACTAAGGACATTTTACTGAAGTGCTTCCCACTTCAAAATCTTATTTTGCAAATGTTACCAGTGTAAGTGGCTTTTTTTAACAGATTCTGGTGTGCCTCTTGAACGCTGCAGAATGTTTGCACAGCAAGAGCTGATGTACCACAAATAAACTAGAAGACCTGTCAAAGTTATCTGGACATAAGCTTACTTTAGTGCTAAAAGATGATACAACTGCAGTGGTAGGAAGACTAAGTTTCAAAATTCCAAGCCAGTTCTTCAGTTTTAATACAGTTTAATGAACATCAGTCCAAGAGACCACTTGATGGTATGAGGTACATTCCTTGACCACAATGGCTGTGCTTAAGGAAAAAGGACAAACATATACTTAAATTAAATAGTGTAATTTAATTTAGTAGCTGCTTAATTATCATTAAGTTAAAAAAAAGTTATAATTAACTATTAACGTTAATGACTCAAAACCTTTCAGAAAGCATGAATCCAAAAGGAAAACATTCAGCAGGTGATCACAGACTTGCAGTTCTTCCACCAACAATGCAACCTGCGTCAGTCATTAAGGACTGTTTGTTCAACGAAGACATTGGTCTACAGTCAGTAACAGCAGTCTTGGCTCTGCTACTTCGCACGGTCTTCTAACAGATACACAATTAACTCGTAAGTGGACAACACAATGGCTGTGTTTGGTATCTGCCGGATGAGCTGGGCAAAAAGTCCTCTATAGAAGGCGAGGTAGCCTTCCTCACGTGCTACCAGCCGTGCTGTCTGAATGAAGGCCTTGTACTTAGTGCCTTCTTCTCGCAGCCGTGTCCGTATGACCTCTGCAGAAAAGTAGAACAAGAGCCCAAGGTTAACAAGACTTACACATCCCTGAAACGTGCCAAGATCAAAAAAGAAGTTAAAACTTCCCTGCACCCATTGCCTGCTAGCCAGGGCTTTCAGATGTGAAATCCCGCCTGCTTTGTCCTTTAGGCAAGAAGGATGTTAAAGAGGGGTGCCCTTCCATCTAGAAAAAATGGATTATTTGCTTGGTCAAGTTGCTACAAAATGAAACACTTCACTGATACTCACGTAGCCAGTACTGCTCTATAAAACCACAATGACACTCACTCCTTTCTCCAGAAACACCACTCTTTACCCACTGAGTGCTTCCCACCCCCCGATTTGCATGCATGCACCCTCTTCTGAGTTTGTATTACTTCAGATGCAAATTCAGATAATCAGAAACCTTCACTTATTTATTCACCTATTTATTCTTCTAAATACTTAATTACTTCCAAATACCACACAACACTATTATTCAGTCTGCATATTACTAAATGTATAAAAGCTTCTAAAAGCAGTTGGGACTCATATAGATGAGGCTACTAGTGAGAATGGATGCAACAGGCACTCAGCTTTTTTTGGAGTAGCTTTGAAACGAGGAAATGCTAGTCACTACATAGCTAGGCAGGAATAAGAACAGTACTAAAAATCTCAGTGCATATGCACATGCCACAGTAACACGCACAGGCCGTTCAAACAGACAGGAATTCCACAAGCATAAAACTAATTATTTGCCTCGCATTGGAGGCAACAGCTGTTCTGCAGTCACAAATGGAAAAGTTAACATACCATGTGGATAAGCAATACAAGAGGCACAGCCCTTGGAAACAGCAGCAGCAAACATCAGTCTAAAGAAGTTTGTGGAGCTCCTTTCGGTTCCGTTAGAAGAAGAGGAGGGCAGCTGGACTTCTTTTAAGTGCTTTTTTAAACTTTCATAAATAGCAAAGCAGATAATGGTCTCAGAAATCCCAGCATAGGAGGCAGTCAATCCTCTATAAAAACCACGCATACCTTCCATCTGGTAAACGTATCTAGCACACTGCAGAGCATTCATTGGTTTTGAACCTCTGACTCTACAAACAACAACAAAACAGAAAACATAATGAGCCCAGAATGAGAATAAAGGTTGAAACAAACAAACAACAAAAAAACCTGATGGCTTTCAATACTTTTCAGAACTACAGAATGGTTCTCTAACAAGTTTTACTTCAAAAATCTTCTAAGAAAGCTGTGTGGAGCAGGACTGTTATGCTGAGAATCCACACTTGGCTCTGCAAATTCATACATACATGTAATAATTCTTACAGCTCCAGCTCTAACTAGTCTGTGACAGTTCACATCAGTGCTTTAAAAGACAATAAGTATTGAAGAGACACTGCTTTACATTACACTACTAATTCCACTTAAAGCAACCTTCAGCAGGCCAAGATACATAAGTCTCCTACACGAGAAACAGTCTTTCATTTTAACAAGGCAGCATTCTGCTCAAAGGTGACACCCTGTGAAGTGCTGGAATCGAGGCTTATAAATTATTTATAAGGGATGGTGTCTTAAAGGATCTTGCTTATTTCACATAAGACATCCTTGCAGGAAAGAATTTCCATTCTAACGAGTCACTTTATTACCTGAATCCCTCATTGCTTCAATATCCACCAGTGACCATGAATCACCCAACTGGAAGACATTAGTGCCCAATTCCCCCTCTGCCTTCAGGAGCTATGGTTAACCATGATACAATGCTGAAGGGAGTATGAGAACATTAAACCATTGCAACAGATTCTTGCTGCCTCTGGAACGTTTTATGAAATTAAACAAATCCTGCTTCATTAGAATTTAAAAAACATCACTCTTTCTGCTTACAGCTACTTCACTGTGTATCAGCAGCCTCAGTGTGTTGCTGTAATACATGTGTCTGTATGATCTAGGGCCAGCACAAGGGGTGTTGCCAAGTGGGACAAGGACTGTGAGCCACGTTTGGCTCCCCACGTGGGCTCCCCTGACCTTTCCATAGTCTCTATTACTGCTCATTCAGAGCACTTCAGTCACTGATGTATTGAGCCTCAACACCAACCCCTGAGGTTCAGAAGACTTTTTAAAGCAGGATCTGAGGGCAAATTAATGCTGTATCTAAATTTACTGGAATTTTACAGTGGAACCAAAACCTGAATCTAACTCAGGCTGGAGGCAAATTCCACATCCCTGTATAGAAGCTGTGAATCAGATTAACCCAACACCCAAAACCTAAACATCCAGCATGACCAGGATGGGAGCTTCCAAGATGAAAGTGAGAACTGGGGAAATAGGGCAAGATCTACCAAAGTCTAAACAGCTATCAGAAAAAAACATCTAAGATTTTCAGAGTTTTCCAGAGGCTCCCTTAGCCATTTAGCAGCATCCCATCTCCTTCAGTTACTTACTTCCGTTCCAGTTGCATTCTGGTTTTCACCATCCATATAGGATTCATCAGGGTATTTGTGATAAAGGCTGAAAAAGTGGAAAGAAAAACAGAAGTATAGCTGAATTCAGGCAGTCCACACTGTTCAAGCAAGTGAACTATATGAAATGAACTGTATAAATGAACTATACACACTGTGCAGTGACAGTTCTAGTTACCAGCTGCAGGGTTTCAGACAACATACAGGTGTGTAGCTTCTAATCTGTCTCTGGCCAGAGAACTATCTTATATTAAGAAAGCTCCAGAAGGCATCAGTCAATGGCCTTAAGGGCTCTTTTCTTTCTGCACCTACGTACTTCATGTTTCTAAACAATGCTGTAGGCAAGACAGCTTACTTACTGACTGGGTTTTAGAAAAAATAGACAGGGAAAACATGCATTTATTAGTGTCTTGTTTTCCCCAAGGCTCTAGGTGGTGCCATTGAGCTACCTCATCAACTGAATCCACCCACAGCTATGGGGTCAGTTTGGCAAACATTTTTAATGATCACTCTGCTGACTGACACTTGAATTAGTGAAGCTGTTCTGCAGTATTCTTCCAATAAGAACAGGCTATTTCCTTATCCTGGGAGGAAAAAAAATACAACACGCCAAAATAATTTGGCTAAAGCAGTACCAAAGGTTTGCTGATGTCTATTAACTTTTGCTTTAAACTGTTCAGAAATATTCTTATAGCATTTTGATTGGAATAATTTGCAAAGAAGAATTCAGAAACATTACGAAGCATCCAACAGTAAAACAGCTCCTCTGCAAACAAGGTAAGCCAAGAGCTAGCAAACTCCTGGGATCGAGCTCTGTGGAGTCTATCTCTGGCTTCCCCCAAAAGCTGATGTTAGAATATTTCACTAGCACTGAAAGGGTCCCTGTCCTTTAGAGGTGAGCATCAGGTCATGCCACTACTCACAGTTCTGTAGCTGTAGCACCTGGCACATGGTTCTACAATGTTCTTACTGAAAGTCTTCAATCAGAAAGACATTCAAGCATGTGTTTCTATCAGTTTCATTGGCTCCAGCAGTTCCTAAAACCCTTCCTCAATGCTAAACTTGGCCAAACCACACAAGTTTAAATCAATAAATAACACTGCCATAACTTATTCACAAGGGCACTTTACCTACAGAAAGCACTGTGCCAACAGAGTAGGACTGTATGACTGCATTGGCAATTGGTGGGTTGGCACAAACACGTGCAACAACTTTGCTACAAACTTTAGATTGCAGAGATAGGTGGTTATTCAAACTAGGTGCTAAGAACAAATTTACCCCTTTTTAGTAGTGTTATGAAACACCAATTTAAACTCCTCAGAGTGTTCCTTAACAGTCTCCAAAGCAATCCTGCCAAGCACTCCTGTCTGTTTGTGAGAGAACGAGATGTTTCCAGACTCACAGATTTTATTTATAGTCTCTGAACTTTGGCTCATTAAGAACACCTTATACATACTGTTGTTCCACAATCTCAGTTACATCTCCTGATCTCACCCTTGTATGGAGATGATTGCTGGATATATTTCCTAGAAAGTAGATCCTCTATACCAATGTTTTCTGGATCTATAAGCTTGTACTTGTACAGATGTCACAATTATTCACAGACCCCAGTCAGGAATTATCTATTAGCCTGTACTGACAGACTGAAAGTCCAGGCCCTACCTTATGATAACCTTCATTCATTTTCTAGCTACTGAGAACAAGTCTTGTATTGATAACAGCTTGGAATACATACTTCAAAAAATTAAGGTGCATCTCAGAGCCATGCAGACACCAACACAAGCATGGCAGGTACTGCTAAGGGACCAGATGCTGGAGTATTGCTGCAGACCATATGGAAAGTGAACTGCAAACACGTACCTGCAGAACCTGCAGAACAGACATGCACAATGTTGCTGTTGGGTACAAAAATGCCATTAAATCGCTCTTTGGCTTTGGAGTAGCACGCAAAGTAGACAGCTCTGTGGAAAAACAAAGAACAGAAGAAAAGCAATAATACACATGACATCAAGTTAGGTACATTACAGTATTACCTCCTCTAGAAAAAACAGGACTCTCTAAAAAGGGGCCTCTGTATGATGTGTCCATCTGCAGGAATACAAGCTTTTTTCCTCTAAGGTGCCACTATCTGACTCGACACCCACAGGGTAGAAATATCTTACTTTCATACCAAGCCTGTGATGCGAAGCAACATGGTCTTGTTAAAGCAAGTTAGACTGGGTACTAATGCCAACCCTGGCATTTAATACATTTTGTACCCTTGGGACTGTAACATCCCACTACGAGCCTCTGTTTTCCCTACATTTGGTCAGAGCTGTAGTTGCCTTGGCAGCACTTAACCCTGGATTTAACTAAAAGCAGTTTCACACACTTGTAGTAATACATTAAAATATTCCCCCCTCCTAATTATTTCTTTGAGGATAGCATCATGAACAAAGTTCCACTGATAACAGAAAGCACAGATCACAACAAGCAGCTAAGACACACATACAGAAGTTTACAGAAGTCAAAAACTGACAAATTGAGGTTTCATTGTTAGAAAAAACAGTACTGACTTCCATAGTATTCCATCCTTTGAAGAAGAGAATATGAACATTGACTAGAAACAGGTACTAAATGCATTAGTTACTTATATATGTAAGTGAAAGTCAGTGCTATACAAGCGTAAGGATGATTTTTAGAATTAGTTGCTGACATGAAAGCTGTGCAGTCTGATGCTTTGCAAAGCAGTTTATGGATGGGATAATTTTATGACCTTCTATGACTTCTATATTGCAAATGGGCTGCAATGTTTGGGTTGATGCTTTAAATGTGCTTTTTGGCAACAGCTTAACTATTTACCTCGATGGTGCAACTCCAACCAAGTTTGGACCCAGACCTCGGAAGAGTGACCTTGGTCCTTCTTTTTCCAGAATTGACCTTAAAATAAAAGCAAACAGAGAAAAAAAGGGTAGTATTTAGGTTAAAAGTTACGCTTCTTATTCTGGCAGACAATCAGTCAAAAGAACTGTGCTGAAGAAATCAATGTTGGTTTGAAAACTACTAAGTTCACAACTGCACAAAAGAATTATAAGAAAATTAGCAGAATTATACACTGCTGAATAAAGACCACTGTGCTGTAAGACTTCAGTGCACTGCAGGCGAATGCGTGTCGTATGACAGAAGGTTACAATTTCCATTTTTGAAAGCTGAAAGGAATTGAACTTCATAGTTTCACAGAGAATCCAATTCTAATTGACTGAAGAACAAAGAATACTTTTGTCATTCTCTGTATCCAGGAAACTTAAGCAGTTTAGGAGTCTGTTGCCTCAATAGAGGCACAAAAAATTTAAAACCACCAGCACTCTTTCCCCTTTCACAATTAGTCACTTTTTCCCAGTGGAAATTGAATGCTGCACCCTTCTACAAGCTGTTCCCCCACGTAGTTCAGAGTAACTGTTCTGGTTTTGAGGGCATCCAAAAGAGTTCATAGCAAGACTCCAAAGGATGCCACAAACTACAGAACTACCCTTGTGTGTCACCAGATTTCATGACCAGGTGTAAAGCAGGATAATAATCCAATAGTGTTTTCCCGTAGTTCTGCAATTGCTACAGCCCAAGTTTCCAAAGCCATTTTCATCCATTTTTCCCCACATCTTGGAAGGCATGTTCAGCTAGAGCTTCTGTGATAGTCCAGCTGTCAAGCTCCACGCTTGCTCAGGTGAAAAAGACTTACTTTTACACAATTATTTGCCCTATTAACAGAGCACATATTCAGAAGGATTGAATTAACACCCAAACACTGGTAAATAGCCAACTATTCACCAGCGAGAGCCAGATATGGTCCAGTAATCACTGGGGCTGAGTGCACAGTCTGCTGCAGTAGACCTCAACTGAAATAAAGGCTCATCACGTGAAAACCATGCAATAAAATCCAGATAACACCAGGTCCCAGGGGAAGTTCACGTGCATCTGTTTGTACTGTCCAATTCTCTGTTTGCTTTCTAGGTCATTAGCACTGTTGGGAATGTCCCCTGCGGATTCCAAAAACAAGCTCATTAGGCAGAAGATACATAGGAGCTCCTGAAATGTTTTTTGTTTTTTATTTCTGCAGTGGAGTAGAACTTTCTGTGTAAACTCCAGAGCTGAGTGTCTCCAAGGAGACAGATCCACCAACTACTCCTTCTTTGTCATTTAGCAGTCACGACTGCAGCTTCCAGCTGGGGTGACTCATGAGAATCTTAAAGGGATTAGACAAAAACAGCCCGACCTTCTGCAGTGCTTTCTATACAGCAGCAGGCTTAACCTGCCCTCCTGAGTACCTACTTTTCTTCTATTTACAGCAGCTAAGGAGCTTTCATATTCAGCATCTTTAAGTCTTCTAGAACGATTTTATTTGCAGGGCTCTGAAGGGCTGCTTCCTCAGCCATACAGTTTTCCTAAAACAGAGGATCCAAGTCACATCCAGTTCAGCCATGTATGTATGGTCAGGATTCTGAAAGGGGTGTAAGGATATAAGAGATCTAACTTACTCCTCTTTCTTCATATGTCTGTGTTTCATCAGAAAGATCACAATCAATAGCATTATCTGTGCTTCAATAGCATTATCTGTGCTTCACAGACACTGTCAGCAAGGGAATGACAGACTGCATGATTATTTCATTCTTACTTCTTAATCCTCTGGACTAAATAGGTCAAAAACATGGTGTGATACATGCAGCTGAGCAATTCCTCAAGTAAAATGAAATCAAGATCATAGTCACCACAGAAATTCTGGGGTGAAATGAAATCAAGATTTGTCAACCAAATTTAATGAGCTTAATAAATACATTAAAAGGTTGACCTAATTTTAACCCATTTCTTCTTTCCCTAAAAGGGAGATCTTAGAGAAAGATGGGAAAAGGAAATAAATTAACAGCCTCATATGTTTAAGTTATTACTTCCTTTAGTAACAGCTGTCTTTAGACCAGTGCTGCAAGGTGAAAAAGTAGAAAGGGAAAGAAGAAAACCGAAGGCAATTGGCATTGAGTTATACTTTTGGTCACGAATTGCTGTAGATTCACCTCTGAATACAAAGTGTTTGGCATGGGAAAGAAGCTCTGTTTATAACAGAAACTCAAGTCCCAGAATGACTCTAAGCATCTAGTTCTGCAGAGAATTTGAGTTAGCACTGTACTGTTACATAACTGTGCAGCTTCTCCTCAGGCAACCTGCCAAGTGTGCTGGCCTTACATAAATCATTCAACTTGTTTTGCTAGTCAGTATTTTCTTTGGCATTTCTATTACCTGATCTAAGCAGGACCATCCTGCATTACCCTGTGACGTGCTCAATGATCCAAATAAACTCGATGCACTGCATGATGTCTGAACCATAACTTTGGGTTGTGATCAATGGCTCTGGGTCCAGGTGGAGGCTGGTGGCAAGTGCTGTCCCCCGGGGTCTGTCTTTGGACTGGTACTTTTAAACATCTTTATCAGACACAGATGATGTGATTGAGTGCACCCTCAGCAGGTCTGTGGATGACACCAGGCTGAGGCACAGCTGATACAGAAGGAAGGCATTCCATCTAAAGGGACCTGAACAAGCTCGAGAGATGAATCCTTGTGATCTTAATGAGGTTCAAGGAAGCCAAAGTGCTGCACTTGAGTCAGGGCAATTCCACATACGCATACTATGGGAACTCTCTGAGCAGCCCTGCTAAAAAGGACTTGGGGTTCCTGACAGACGATAAATCGAACACGAGTCAGCAGTGTGCACTGTGGCACAGAAGGCCAACTGCAGCATGCAGCCAACTCCTGGGCTGCATCAAGAGGGGTGCCCAACAGGTCGAGGGGGATGGTTGTCCCTCTCTACCCTTGTGAGGCCCTGTTTGAAGTACTGTGCCCTCTGAACAAAAAAAGATGTATAAAATCTTTTGGAGCAGCTCCACAGGAGGGCTGGAGCACCTCTCCTACAAAGACAGGCTGGGCTTTTTCAGCCTGGAGAAAGAAGGCTCCAGAGAAACCACACTGTGGCCTTCCAATACTGTATGTATAGACAGGGCTGCCCCTTCTTATGTGCTGAATTCAGCACTCGCTCTTTTTAAACTTCCTGTGGTTGGTGATTGCCCAGCTCTCTGATTTCAGCAAGGCCTCCCCACTCTCAATGGAGTCAACAGCTCCTCCCAGTAATATAAGGGATCAGAGAATTCTGGGGGTCATCTAGTTCAAATTAGCACTCAAGTAGAATCAATTTTGAAAATGGATCAGTGACTGACATGCATCACAAAACACAGAGAATCAGAAATCTCATTACAACACTGGCCCATTAAGGAGGAGGAAAGACTACAGACTCTCACCTTTAAATGGAGCTCTAAAGAGAGAGAAATCAAAACTTTACTTCATCAACCTGTTAAATAGCATGGGCAGCAATAGTAAAAGTATCATTCCAGCTACTTAGAGAAGACTGGGAATGGCTCCAGGAAAGACAGAGTGCATAGTTCATTCAGTCCTTCAACCACTGTGCCAAGAATTGGCCTCAGCTAGAAAGGATTACCTGTTCTGTAGCTCAAAGTCTTCCTGTTATTGGAAGAAAAAATAAAAAGAAAAAGGAAACAAAAAAAAGGCTTTTTTCCCCCAGAATATTTTCTGGTAGTTCCTGCAAGCTAAAGCACATTGAGCACAAAGCTTGGAGTACGCAATGTGCATTGACTCCTAGAATATAATAACTACAAAAGTCTCAAAAGCAGATTAAAAATAATACTCCCATACACCCAAATCAATGTGCTTCTGAGTGCTAGCAATAAAATTCTGTGGAAGCTTAAAGGAACACTCAGGAACTTCATGTATTTTTAAAAGAATAATTTATCTTTCTACTGCCGAATCCAAAAGCCTAACTGACATGTATCCCTGCAGTGCAAGTCTGGAGCAAAATCTGCATTCCTTGTTTGAACCAAGGAATTGAAACTCAGATCACTGGTGTCAATTAACACTGAAGGACCAGAGGAACAGTACTCACTTAAGAACGCTAAGGAGCCCAGGTGAAACAGATGTTGGCCTGACCATTCCTTCACCACTGATGGTCCCCAGCTGGACTTGCGGGTAATAGACAGTCCGAAAGGCCAGTTTTGAAGATTGGAGCCTAGTCTTTATTACTTCTAAGGGACAAGTAAAGATGGCACCAACCGTTCCTCCACATCTGTAAAACACAATTTAAATAGAAGACAGTCAGTAAAATGTAGCTGCACAGATATAGCAAGTCACAAGAGCACAGAGCATAAATAAAAAACTGCATAACTGACTCCAATTGCTCCACACTGTGGATAAACTAACAGAAGCAGAGCTGTTTCCACATCAGGCAAGGGAGACTGTTCCCAAGCCCTGTGGGAGGGGAAAGAAGGCTGAGAAACACTTATGATGATCCCATGTAGTGATGAGGTTGGAAGGGTGAAACGCAAAAACAATTCCCAACTCCAACAAAAATCCATGGCTGATCATCTGCTGGAATCCTGCCTGTAAAAACTTCAGACGCACCCATGTTTCAGAGGTGGCTGTCCTAATACTGACATATCCTTGGATGGATTTTTCCTATGGGAAGCAGGAAGCTGGCAGCTGAGAACAAGCAACTGGGGATTAAGAAACTGTACACAGCAAATATAATCCTCCACCATTTCAATAATTACGATTACAACAGCTCTCTACTGCAAGTTAGGTTCCCTTAAAAACAATGGCTATCAACTTCTCTGGCGTGGGGAAGCTGCAAGGATGCGAGGGAGGGTGGGAACAAGGGAGGCTGCTGTTCTTTAGGCTACTAAAGAGAATTAATTAGAATTCCCATGGCCTGATAACAGAAGCACAGGAATATTACACATGCACGCTGATTACAGAATCGTAAAATCATTAAGGTTGAAAAAGACCAACTGCCAACTACCACCAATACTGCCCAGTGCATCAGGTCCCTCAGGGCCAAATCTACCCTTTCCTTACACACCTCCAGGGATGGTGACCCCACCACCTGTCTGGGCAGCCTGTTCCAGCACCTCCCATTCTTTCTGAGACATCCAAGCTGAGAAACTGAGTGAGAAACTAGGATGTCTGTGGGCAAGGGGATGGAAAGGCAGAGGAGATGGCTCAGGATGCACTCTAAGCAGCAGCCAGACATTTTCCAAGGCAACTTCTGAAAGGAAGGTCAAATTTCTCCAAGATAAGGAGAGTCAGTGATCTGGAGTGCATCACACCCACCTTGCCCAGCCTGCCCTATGATAACAGCTGTTGTGTTGGAAACTTAATGCTGAGGAGTTACAAGGCTGGTTGATGGCAGTATCAGTGACACACCTCTGAACTGAGCATACTCCTGGAGACTGCAGCCCGTGACTCAGTGAATGGAGGCCACTCCAAGGGAGGTTTTCCTTGAACAGAAGGTGGTCAGGGAGCCACTGTGCTACATCCACGTTATTTCATATATACAAAAGAAAAGAAGAAAAAAATCCCACCTGGCATAAAGTCCTCTTACTTGAAAGGCATCCACCTGAAAATAAACTCAGTAGATGGCAGAAACAATTCAAATCATGGTTTTAATAAGGGCATTTAACTCGGTTTGCCCACATTTCCAAAGATATAGTTTTTAACTGTTGTTATCCTGCTCTTAGCACTGTCTCACTCCATGTTTTTCTTGTTCTAGGGCTTTTTCAACATCTTTCTTTAACCCATGATTTCTCTCTGTAACCAGATAATACAGAAACTGCTGGTGGCTGGAAGCTTGGTTTTCAATCTGTTGCTACAAACTCACCTAGTTCACACTCCTGACACAGAGCTCTATCATAAAAAATAGATTTCAAGGCATATTAGGAAATAAACAAACCTGAATCAGGATTGAGGATTTCCAGACACACTCTTTTTACATTACCCAGGGCTGACTATTTTTTACTGCAGAGTTTCACACAATGAATTCAATGTTCTGTACCACACTGCACAAAAAAGAAGGCTCCAAGCCCTCCTGTAACACCTTTCCTAGGACAGCAGGCTAAGGTTGCCACTGAGGATCACACATCAGTTTCTTACTGAGACTGGGATGATATCTGAATGTTCCAGTACAGTGATGGAAAACCACCAGCAGCCATTACTTCTATCACCTATCAAAGGTGATACCAAAGAAGCATCAAAGAGCTATAAAAATCCCCAGTATGAAACTAGTCCTGAATATAATTGCTGCTCATCACTATTGCCACGCAATAGGAAACAGGGCAGCTAAAGTTGGAAATTCCCCAAGCTAGCAAACAGGCTGAATGAAAGAGTTCTAAGGTTGTTACACCAAAACAACACATTGAGCTTCATATTATGCTACAACAGCCTGGGGAGCCACGTTAGAGCTGCCTGTTCTGCTGCAGAGGCCGTGCTCATCTTAATGCAGCGTGGCTCACAGAAAGCACACCAAGAACACAGCAGTGCACAACACCCAACTCTCATCAGTGCTCCTGGTCAAACACCTCGCTCTGTCACTGCTCCTCAATCATGTTTGAATGCCTCTTCTTTGAAACCTGACAGCTAAAAATAATTCTGAGGATGACTAAAAAGAACACTTAGTTTTATTAAACTAACATGTTCAGATTTAGGAAGACTTAAGAGGTTTTTGTTGGCTTTTTTCTTTTCCAAAGGCATTTCCTACAACTGAACAGATTGACAAGGAATTTTCTTTGTTTGTACAAGCATCTAAGCACGTTATTCCTTCAAAAACCTGTGCTTAGACTTCCCTTGGAAAGCAGCACAAATCTACAACTTAACTTTCTTTGATGTTAATGTCAATTTGTGATTTAAGTAATTCTCCATGAGAGGGAAAGGAAGAAAAAACCTAATCCCATCCTTTGATTTGCATGTAAAGAATTCCTTGGTAGAGCAGCAAGAACTCTGTGTGCATGGTTTGGGAACAGAGAACTACAAAAGGACGTTAACAGATGTACTAACATGTATTTTCTGTATGTGAACTACTTTAACAGGAGAATCACTTTTAAGCACGAAAATGGTAAAGACTGGCAAAAAAAAATGCAGCAAAAAAATACATACCAGTTTACAAAGGCATTACCTGGTGCTTGCTCAATGCCTTATATTAAACACTAACGATTGTTGGCCAATACTGTTGAGGCTCCTGGATTCCAAGCACTGTGCATTTCAGACACAGTTATCCAAAAGAATAAACTGACATGACCAAGCCTGGCATTCTGATCTAACAGATGAGTTTGATGAGTTTCTCCTTTAAAGAAACTTGCTTCTTCCTTTTCCCTGATTAAGGGAAGGAAAACGTAGCCAAATTGAGAAAATCCTTACATTCAGAGTGACGAATCCTGTAAGAAAGAGCTTTGCCTTCATCTCTTTCAGACCACTAAGATTTGATGGTTGAATAAAGTCAGAGTTGTTTACAGAACTAGGTGTGTGCCATGGGATCAAGAATGACGTTGTTCACACAGACCTCGCTGGGTCTCTGATTGTCCTGTGCACTGAAGGAGAGCTTGGACACAAGCCTTTTGTTGGTGGGCGTCACTTCTGTTTCTCCTGCCTTTTTAGATGCTTCTCATGTCACTCACATGCCTCAGCCCACATTTGGGAGAAACAGGCCAGGAATGGTTCCTCCAGCAAAACCTTTCATGTCCCCAGAGCTCAGACCTTTAAATGCAAGGACAAAGTGTTTTGAGAGTTCCTCTTGCAGATCCATGCCTCCACTCACCCCACTACATATAGTCAGTACATAAATGTATATAATTAACACTCGAATAACAGCAAGTCTGAGTGAATTCCATGAAAATAATTTCATTTCCTTAATAGCTAATTCATCTACCAACACCACGCTGCTGTGTTTTCTATCATCATTTATGAACACCAGAACAACACTTTTATAGTAACACCCCATAAATTCACAACACTGAAATTCCATTTGCCTTTTCTGACCCACCAGCTGCTCAGACTACAGCGACATCTTGCCATAACGTTTTTGAGCCTCTCTGGCATGGTCCCTCCCGCATCAGCTGTCTTCTTTCTTCATGGCTCACTTCTGGAATTTCATCCTTTTAGTCTGATAATCCAGTTAATTTATGCAGACTTGAATATTTGAGTACTTCTGGGAACGTGTATGTAATTCCTTGGTATTCAACACAGGGAATGAGTATCTGCATCGTCACTTTTAACAGATCAGAGTGAATGTTGCCTGCATGCCATTGAAGAAAAAAAGCATTATCTAAAGGAGCAATTCTCAGAATGCCAATAGGATGCATAAACCATGCCCCAAATATAAATAAGCAGCAGACAGTTCTACTAGGGACTCTGACGTGTTGGACATCTTGTTCAGATGAGCAGATTTTCCTCCACATGGGAATTTGTTTCCATTAAATCCTGGCGTTGCTCTATTCCCACAAAGATGGCTGAATAACATGCTGTGCATAAAAGAAACACTTTGTATTCCCACAGTGTTCCAAATACCTTCATCTGGGAAGGAAAAACAACCACCAGCCTCTCTCAGCTACATAAACAGCCCTAACCCTGAAAGATTCAGCTGCGAATATGCAGCCAAATCCATTTGATTTGGGAAGATGGAGGTGTTGCCTCGATTGCAGATTAAAGCCTTAATTCCGATCAGGATGAGGTTTTTAATGAGACACCATGCAGAACTGCAGTTCCGGAGATGTGAGCGGTGTTCACCACCATTACTCTCTTAAGGCCAACAATCTCTAAACCTGCCTTCAGTCAAAAGGCAGAGACCTGCTCAGAAACAAACGCAGAGCACGCTACCTTTGACAAGTCACACAGCAAGCGCATGAGGGGTTCCCAGCCCTGCTCTGCATGCATCACACACACAGATCCCTTCAGTGCGAGACACCCAACAATGCACCAGCTTGGGCCCATTGCAAACTGCCAGAAAAAGTGTTTGTACTTCAGGCTACAAACACTCCCTCTGGATACACATTAGCCAGGCATACATTACCACTGGAGCAGTAAAACACATTTCTGAGTTGTGACGTCCAAACACAGGAGCACGTTTCATACCCTCAAGCCAAGGGCTGAGTGCTTACGGAGATACAACGTGCTGTGCATTATGAGTTGCAGAAAAATTATTTCCCTCCATAAAAAGAAAACATTCTGTGTAAAAGCCACGCCAAGAATGTAAATCTCAAAATTCAATTTGAACTTTTCTCTCGCTGGCAGCTTTCTATTTTTACAAAGTCCACCCCCAATACACCAATGACTTGCATTTGAAATAAACTCTCAGCACCCACTAGCACAACTGATATAGATGATGCCAAGTAACTTAATTAAAAGCAGAGATTATTGCATTTGGTGCTACTGACTGGGCTCCTATGATGGATGCAGGACTCTGTTCAGCTAAATTCAGTGGCACTATCAGCACAAAGCACAGCACTGCAGCACCAGTGCATCTGCTTTCCTTGAAGGCAAACTGAGATGAGCCATTTTCCCCATGATTTTGTTTGTGATAGGGATTTCATTCTGTTTTTCTGACGTGTGCCACATGGCCTAGCATGAAACGCACAGCATAAGCAGTGAAGCAGGCTGCATGTTTGATATTCAGTACTGCTTCATCAAGAGCGCAAACGTGAGGTGCTGCATTCCCAGAAACCATAGGAAAGTCATCTTCAAAACAATACAGACTGTTCTTCATGGTTTTGAGATACAAAGCATTCACAGCACCTCCAGCAAATAAAGCTGTCATCAGGTGCATGTATTGCTGCCAGCACTTGGTGTTCCTCAGTGAGCACTGTTACTGAATTACATCAAGCAGATGAGAACCTAAACTAGATAAGGGGCTGAAAGACAGCAAATCTCATTATCAGCTTAAGGGCTATAACATACACAGCATAACAGAAATACATACTTCAGGTCAAGGTTGCTTCTCTCCATTCTACAAACATATTATAAGCTGTGCAAGATGCTGAGCTTTGTTCCATGATAAAATACTTTTTTGCAGGTGAAGCTAGAGGAGCTCATTCACTTCAGTAATTTTGTTTGAGATTTACTGGTATTGTCAGCCTTACCAAATCACTTCACAATCCTTTCCAAAGTATGCTTCCAGTCCCTTCCAGGTGGCTTAAGGAAGCTTTGCTTGGTGTCTCAGTTTGCCTTTCACAGCAGTAGCAGAAAGGAGTTACAGAGTTAAGCCTCAATAACAAACAGAAAAAAAGTCACAAATGTGATTTTATTCATAGAAACAGTTCCTTTAGTTTCAGTAAAAAAACCTCTTCTTGAGGTTCAGGAATAGACACCACTCAGTACCTATACAAAATAAATCACAGTAAGGAGTTCGTTCCGTTTTTGCTCTGCCTTTAAAGATCACTTCTTTGCAAATCCCTGTAGCAAATAATATTATTACAGCTGGAAAGACAAAATGAAGTCACCTCTGTTGAAGCCTGAGCCAAAGTTTTCCCCAAACAAAAATAAGCAAGAACTCCACTGACTTCAGCAGGGAAGGAAGAACCCAGATTGAAAGCAGCTTGCATTTGTTGTACAACATAAGCATCATTCTGTTTGTTGCTTCTGAAACCTTCTCTGCCCTCACAGTCCTCTTTCCATCAATATCCCAAGAGCTTTTGGCCTGCTATTATTACTGTAAATCTTAAAATGAAAAACAAGCAAGAGGAAGTCAATGACTGTTTCTATCTGTAAGTACGCTGACTTGCCTTTTTTGTGCACACATAAGAAATTGCATTGCATTTCCTTGAGATCTGACACACCACCCCATACTCATTTTTGCAAGAAGCTACTGTAATACCACCAGTAAATCTCAAACAAAGTTACTTAAATGAATGAGCTCCTCTAGCTTCACCTGCAAAAATGTATTTTACCATGGAACAAAGCTCAGCATCTTGCACAACTTATAATGCAGTCTGAGCTTCCTGGTTCTGCAGGTTCTGTATGACAGTTTGAAGCTGACGTTCAGTTTGTTGTTCCATCCAGTGAGCCCTAAGAAGTCTGCATTTCTGACTTGAACAGCAGAGGTAACAGCATTATTAAATGTGGGCAACCGATCAGAACTGTGTTGGGATAGCAGGTGGGCACAGACACTCATACCCTTATCTGCACAGGGCAAACACCTTAGCATCAGCTGATGCACAATGAAAACTACATTTGCTATCTCACTGTCCTTTCTGTAACATCACAGCCAAACAAATGATGGTGCATTTTTCTGCACCTCCTGAACACACTCAGAACAAGAATCAGCTTCACCAATTAACCTGTAAAGGCCTGTATGCCCAAAAGACCATCTCTCTCCTCCATGCCACACTTTCAGAACTGTTTTAAAAATAGATCAATCTTATTATAACTAAGAGGCCAGGATGATATTCTCTGTTGTGCTTCTATTCTTTCCGTCCACGCTCTATCGAAACCAGTCTGAACCTAATGATTTCCCAGCTGCAGCACATAAAATGTTTATTAAGATCTTAAGGGAAAGCAGAGACTGTTACAAAATAAATAAGGAAGAGGTGGAACATTCAGTGCTAATTTAAAACCCCAATGAGTTTACAATTCCAATTTATTTATTGTGCAAGGAGTTACATGAGGACACCTGGAGTTCTGCAGAGGCATTGTTTCTGTCCCAAATGGCTGCATGGGCACATCCAGGTCCAGTTTCTGGCACAGGATCCAGCAGAGAATGGAAAAACAACAGGGAGAGACTACTTACAACAATGCAACCATTTTAGCCAGCAAAAGAAAGGCTGTGTGTCTGAAAAACTTGGCTTTGTTGGCTTTAATATTTGTATTAAATGAACTTACTGCTTCACAGCCAACCTCCTCTCTCCATTTAGCAACAGAAGCAGCAATGTCTGCAATTAAGCAGATTAACAATAGGCTTCATGTGGGCTTCTGAACTTTGTCAGCTGGCAAACACTACAGCTATCCCACTGCTCAGTGAGCCTAAACCATTAAAAAAAAGATTTTTGACACGGACAGACCTACTACATACGCTCCTAGTAGGTGGGTGGGTGGGATTTTCTTGCTGGACTTTTTATTTTTTATTTTTAATTTACACATCATAACGATTTCACTAGACTTCGGCTAAAATCACCGTGATAGGCCATCTCACAGGGTGTTTTTTTGTCTATTCCATCCCAGGCTCTCGACACACCAAACTCACAACCCCTTGAAAGAGCAAAGACAAAGCAGCAGCAGCATCCCGGCACGCCAGGTCCGTCGTGCAGTAACACCAAGGCCTTCTCTATCTCTTTCTTTCTTTCTCACCGAACAGGCCCTTTTCGGGTCCGGAAAAGGCAGAGCCCAGGGGCCGCAGCTCCCACACCCAGCCCTCCATTCGAGCGCCCGCAGCGCATCACAGCGCGCCGCCCGCTGCCGGCAGAGCAGCCCAGCAGCCCAGCGAGGTTTTGAATTAAAAGCAGCCGACCGCCGCGGCACCGCGCCCTCAGAGCGCGCCGGGAGTTCTTACAGCCGCCGAGCTCCCCTCGGGAGCAGCCCTCCACACTCACCCGCCGGCGAAGAGATGCAGCAGCGTGTTCTCCTGCGGGCCGCCCGCCATAGCGCCGCCGCCTCGGGCTCCGGCTGCCCGGCCGGCCGCTGCCAGCAGAGCCGGGTCGCGGCGCGCGCACGTGACGCCAGCGGGCGGCGCTCGACGCGTCACACGAGCGCGCGCGACACGTCGGGCGGGAAACAGTTTCTACCGGCGGCCGCGAGGCGGTTCTTCACAGCGCCCCCACGCCGCTCTGCGCGCGCGCAGCTGTGGTGGCTGCGGCCGCTGATGCAAACGGCTCTTCTGGTTTTACAGTCAGTGAGAACATAGGAAACACCTCCACCGTTTCACTGATCCAAGAGCAGAAAACACTTCGGTGTTCAAAACCTGCAGCTTCCCACAGCCCTTGGCACACCTGGATCCGCTCCGGGGCTATTTGTGCCCTGGCGGTGATGGTTAGCACATTCAAGGGCACACGACACAAGGCTTTTTCAATTCTCGTTCCCTGCAGTCAGTGGAAGAACTCCGGCCCAGTGCAGTGATTTATGCTCCTCTACAGGAGCCATCAATTTATGCGCTGTGGGTGAATTTCACAGCCAGGACATTTAGGAATGTCTGGCTTTTTACATTAAAGCTAAAATCCTGGAGAAAAGATTAAAATCTACAAAAAGACCCCAAGTCTGCACATTTTTCCGTATACACAAATGTTCTATTATCCGTGACAACGAGCTGAACACGCAGCCTAACTGCAATTGAGATCCACACATGAACTTCACGCCTCTGGCTTGGCACAAGCTGAACTTCCAGCCCCAACGCTGAGAGATGCAGGAGTTCAAAGTCTCTGTGTGCACATCCTCAGGCTTTCCTAATCGGAGGAAAAAACGGCTTAAAACCAAGAGATGGAGCAGACCACAGTCCACAGTAGGGGCAGTGCTTTTTGGGAGGACCCCAGTCTCCAAAGACAGTCCTTCAGACCTTCCTGTGTCTTTGTGAGGTGATGGTGATGAACACCGAGGTGCCCAAAAAGAACATCTACCTCTGAGATCTTGTGTGGTGGATGAAGGGTGACGGTGCACTGAAGTAGAATTAATCTAGTGGGCTGTGTAAGGGTTTGCTGAGACTAAGGAATGAACACAGCATTAAGCATCTGAAGCCAAGTCACTGCTCAGGATATCTGGCCCCGGCACAACCTGGAATCCTGAGGATCCTAAGCTGCCATCAAGCTCCTGTAAAGCTACTCTTTGTGATAATGTAGAACATAGACCAGAGCTCCAGACAGTGGCATGGATTTGCTGTCAGTATTTCAAGCAGCCAGGCCTGTCAAAGGGTGAGATAAGAGCTTTCTTTAAAGTATAATCCTAGCAGATCAGGCAAATTCATCTAAGAATAGAAAAATCTGGTAAGCAGATGATTCAGAAGAGAGCTGGCAACCTTGGCAGGATCATCAGGAGGCAGATGAGTCCATTAACATCTCTCTTTTGTTTGGTGGAAGTATTCATTTGGCTGCCACATGATATTTGGAGGTCCACATAGTTTGAAATGCCTTTTTCCAGCCAACAAAACCACTGACCTCATCACACTGACAAAAGCATGCAGGTAGGCATACACATTAAGATTACATATCCATGGCACCTGAAAACATCAGTGCCACCACAACTGGCTCTGTGTACTTCTTTGCTAAGGCTTCCTATCAAACAGAAGTGGTGCGTATTCACATACAAATAACTAAGGAGTCGCATAAGCACACATATATACACAGTGAAAGCTGGGGTGTTATTTTCTTTACGTGTACCCATAAATGTCAAAGGTGCAGTTGTGGGAGCACTGGCCTCTCATATTCACACACATGGAGCACTCACACATACAAACATACGCATGGACACAACTTGGCCAACCATTTCCCCACACGCCCAACCAAGAAAAGCTCTCCCCGCATTAAAACCAGTCTCAAGCCGCAATTTTATGTTCCTAGTCCCACAGAAACAAAGCAGCCCTTCTCACAGTGTGCACATGTGCACAAACACCCATCTGTGGAGAGTTGTGATGTGGCAGGAGGTTATTTCCAACCCACCAGCACACATGGGAAAACAGCTCCTAGATCAAATGGGTTGGTTAAGCCTGAGCAGGTTTACAGCATGGAAACAGGACGCCAGACCTGAGGGACAGAAGAAAATCTGTTTGACTTAAGGGGCAAAGAGGAAGGAGAGGGAAATCAGTGTTTGTGAAGAGCAGTGAATGGGACATATGAGAGGTCTGGTCAGCTGCTTCACAGGCACAGAGAAATGGGGAAATCTGATCCTGAAGAATGTGCGCGTGCAATAGGTGCCCTTTCCCTCAGCTTGTTTTCTTCTGTTGCTATTCCTGTTCCTTTCTTCTTTCCCTGCCCTTATGCTGTGTATGTTATGCAAATGTCACTCGGTAGCTGGGCAGTGGGCCTGTCTGCAAGGCAGAGGGCCGAACAAGAGCAAGAGCAGCTGCCAGACAGGAGGGAAGAGCCAGAGCTCTTTGTCTTGGGCAGCAGCCCACACAGGGAGGTGTGAGGGAGGCGTAGCTCAAGACAGCCACTCGTCGAACAGCTTCCCAGAAAACTGCCTGGACAAGGACTTCTAGCAGGGCTGCCTGAGCCCTGAGACCTGGGGAAGGGTATGTGCAGAGCTGAGCTGTTTTTGAGTTGGATCACTGACTGGCATGGTGGGGCTACGTATGCAGGAGGCACATCAGGTTGTACCTCCTAATATTAAAGCTGTAGGAACAGATTTCCATTTCCTTTGTCCCTGTGTGAGCTAGGCTAAAGTAGGACAGACAAAGGTCAGCAAACCTTATACTGTATATAGCCTTTGGTCCAAAGTGTGCTTTGCATCCTATAACGTCTTACAAATGTTAAGAGAATCAGCAATAGAAAATATCCATAAGGGAAGCCAGCCTCACAGCATCTCCCATTCACCTTCTGTGTGAGATTTATCAGGCCTATAAGGACTTTTTAAAATACTCAGCTCTTGCATGCATCTAATCTGAGTTTAGCAGGTCTTTTGCTAGCTTATTGAGCAACAACTTATGCTATTGCATGGTATTCCACTAGGTGGCAAATTATCATTATGAAATTTACTGCTTACCCTGTTTACCATTGCCAGCAGCAAAGCGGTAGAAAAGACCAATCTAATTGTGTTGTCAAGCTCAGTGACGAGTTTGTTACACACAGTTCCAGCCAGGTGCCTTGACCTAGCAACCTGAATATGCACAAAGGTGTAAGAGAAGCTTGTTTGCCTGGAGACTGCTGCCACCCAACGTAACAGCTGCTTTACTGAGCACGGTTAAAGGCTCCAAACATTTCTGTCATACGTTTCTGCATCGGTTAGAAACATTCCTGGAGAACTGTTAATTCACATTTATACCAGTGGGCCAGAGGAGGTAGAAAAAATTTCCTGGAGAAATATATAAGCTAAATTTGCACTGAGGTGCCTGACTTCCAGATGAAATACTTGCAGCTGTGCTTTTCTCTACCTCTTGCTCCCCAGCAGAGAGCACTGTAAGACCAAAGTTAGAAGCAAAACCACCTTGGGGCAGTGAGGCACTAGGCACATAAGATTGGTCTTTACCAGATCCTGTACATTTTTTCTGCCTGCAACTTGTTTTGCCTATATTTGACTATCAACCTCTCTGGACACTTTGAAAGTACCCTGTCTTGTGGCTCCTGTTCCTGTCCATGAAACACATCTCAAAGGAGAGATGATTTCTAAAAAAGCATAGGTGGCAATAATTTTTTTTTTCTGAAGCTCAGGAAAATAAAGCCATCAACACTGTTTGAGCACCTCACTGGTTTAAGCTGGACAGCAAAAATATCACTTGCTTTTTTGCTGCCATCACCTTTACTCTCATTTTCCTTTTCTAGGTGGAATGAAGAGGTATGTCGGCTTGTATCTGCTCACCCCAAGTGAGTGGGCTGGCTTTCCTTCCTTCTCATCATTTTACAGAATAGCTCTGAAAACAGGACAAATATTTATTTGTTATGTGCATGTCATCCAATCTCTCACACCGTTTCACATGCTGTGGGATATTGTTAGAAAGTCAATCTCTTTCTTGGTTGAGCAGTCTGCTGAATTTGAGGTTTTGGCACACTAAGAGGTGTCTGCTCTTTCATCACACAGAGCCTTTCACCTATGGGAGCTGAAATAAAGAGCGCTGCAGAGTGCAGGTATTCACTCCAGGAGCTGCGACAACATGCAGGGAAACCAAGGAGGAAGACCGGTTTTGTGGTTATGCTATGACTGTATCAAAGCAGCAGGAGAGATGTGGGAAAGCACTGTGTTCCAGACACTGTTTTTATAGCATGCAGAATATTTCTAGGGAATTTCATGACGATAAATGTGCACAGAAGCACTGTGGCCTCAGCACATCAGACACCACAGGAGCCACATCAGGGTAAGTTCCTGAAGTACTCTTTTGCCAGTACAGCATGAACCCAACCAGGAAAGGGTTGAGCTGGCTGTTCACGGGACTTGTTTTGTCTGGTGGCTTCCTACAAACTGGAGCGAGGACTCACCAACTTGTTCCACATCATTAGCAGCTGGCAGGTTCCCAACCATTACCAGCCTAGTCTGGATTCCACCCAGCAGCTCTGAGATGAAAGACACCGCAGCACCACTGCACTCACTGTTTTAGGTTCTAATCCAGCTCCCACTGCAGTCAGTTACTCTTTTTCCACTGACTGCAGCTGGAGCTGGGTCAGACATTTCTGTAGCAGTTTTGTCTCAAGTCCTCAGCCTGATGAAACACTGCTAAAAAAGTCCAACACAACAGATAGACGCCTGCAATTTTGCTATTTTCTGGCATTCAGTTTAAAACCAGCAACACAGATGAGCAAGATCACAAGGAATTATGTTTCTTCCCTGAAGATACTAAATGTTTGAACTTAAAGCTGTCAGAGCACCTGGTGAAAGGAATCTGGAAGGGTGCAGTAAGTGGGTGTCTATCACAAGGCGGATACATATCTGAAACTCCGCTCTATTCCGAAGTGCATCCCTGCCAGGAGCACCATCAAAGAAATACCTCTGGTGGTGATGAAGACAGTAATAGCACTCAGCTGCCCTAGGAATGGCT